ACCTGACTTCAAACTATACTACAGGACTACAGTAATCAAAATAGCACAATACTAATACAAAAACAGACACACAGACCAATAGAACAGAATAGGGAACCCAGAAATAAGGTCATACACCTACAACCATCTGAACTTCAACAAAGCTGACAAAAGCAAGCAATGGGGAAAGTATTCTCTATTCAGTAAATAGTGCTAGGATATCTGACTAGCCATAGACAAAAAATTGAAACTGAACCCCTTTCTTATACCATACAAAAAATCAACATATAATGGATTAAAGACTTAAATGTAAAACTCAAAACTGTAAAAATCCTGAAAGACAACTCAGGCAATACCATTCTGGACATAGGAATGAGCAAAGATTTCATAATGAAGATGCCAAAAGCAATTGCAACAAAAGCAAAAAATGACAAATGGCTTCTAATTAAACTTAAGAGCTTCTGTACTGCAAAAGAAACTATCAACTGAGTAAACAGACAACCTACAGAATGGGAGAAAATATTTGCAAACTATGCATCTGACAAAAGTCTAATATCCAGCATCTCTAAGCAACTTAAAACAAATTTACAAGAAAAAACAACCCCATTAAAAAAACGGCAAAGCTACTTTTCAAAAGAAGACATGCATGCGGCCAAGAAGTATATGAAAAAAGCTCAATATCACTGATCACTAGAGAAATGCAAATCAAAGCCACACTAAGATACCATTTCACACCAGTCAGAATGGTCATTATTAAAAAGTCAGGCTGGGCACAGTGGCTTATTTCTGTAATTCTAGCACTTGGGGAGGCTGAAGTGGGCAGATCGCTTGAGCCCAGGAGTTAGAGGCAAGCCTGGGCAATATGGCAAAACCCCACCTCTACAAAAAGTACAAAAATTAGCTGGGCATGGTGGTACACACCTGTAGTCCCAGCTACTAAAGAAGCTGAGGTAGGAGGATCACTTGAGCCCAAGAGGTCAAACCTGCAATGAGATGTGAGTGTGCCTCTGTAGTCCATCCTGGGTGACAGAGTGAAAACCTGTCTCAAATAAAAAGAAGTCAAAAAATGGCAGATGTTGACAAGGTTGCAGAGAAAAGGGAAAACTTATACACTGTTGGAGGGAGTGTAAATTAATTCAGCCATTCTGGAAAGCAGCGTGGTGATTCCTCAAAGAGCTAAACACAGAACTCCCATTCAACCCAGCAATCCCATAACTGGGTATATACCCAAAGGAATATAAATCATTCTACCATAAAGACACATGCAGGCCAGGTGCAGTGGTTCCCGCCTTAATCCTAGCACTTTGGGAGGCTGAGGCGGGTGGATCACTTGGGGTCAGGAGTTCAAGACCAGCCCGGCCAACATGATGAAACCCTGTCTCTACTAAAAAAAAAATATATATATATATATATTTGCATATATATTTGCATATATATCTACATATATATTTACATATATATTTACACATATATATTTACATATATTTATGTATATATTTACATATATATTTACATATGTATATTTACGTATATATTTACATATGTATATTTACGTATATATTTACATATATATATTTATGTATATATTTACATATATATTTACATATATATGTAAACTAGCTGGAAATCACTTGAACCTGAGAGGCAGAGGTTGCAATGAGCCAAGATTGCACCACTACCCTCCAGCCTGGGCAACAGAGTGATACTCCATCTCAAAAAAAAAAAAACAAAAAAACACTCATGTGAATGTTCATTGCAGCACTATGCACAATAGTAAAGACATGGAATCAACCTAAATGCCCATCAATGACAGATCATATAAAGAAATTGTGGTACACATACACCATGGAATACTATGCAGCTATAAAAATGAACAAGATCAGGTCTTTTGTGAGAACACGGATGGAGCTGGAGGCCATTATCCTTGGCAAACTAACACAGGAATAGAAAATCAAATACCACATGTTCTCACTCATAAGTGGGAGGTAAATGATGAAAACTCACGGACACAAAGAGGGGAACAACAGACACTGGGGCCTACTTAAGGTTGGAGGGTGGGAGGTGGGAGAGGATTAGGAAAAATAACTATTGGGTACTAGGGTGACAAGATAATCTGTATGAGAAACTGCTATGACACAAGTTTACCTATATAACGAACCTCCACATATATCCCTGAACATAAGATTTTTTTTAATGTGGTACTTATATACAATAGAGTACTATTCAGCCATAAAAAAGAATGAGAACCTGTCATTCGCAACCATATGGATGGAACTGGAGATCATTATGGTAAGTGAAATAAGCCAAGCACAGAAAGACAAACATCACATGTTTTACTTATTTGTGGGATCTAAAACTCAAAACAATTGAAATCATAGACACAGAGAGTAGAAAGATGGTAACCAGAGGCTTGAAAGGATAGTGGGAGGGTGGAGGGGCAGATAGGTTTATGTGTACAAAAAAATAGAAACAATAAATAAGACCTGATATTTGCTAGCACAACAGGGTGACTATAGTCAATAATTTAATTGTACACTTTAAAACAACTAAAAGTGCAATTGGACTGCTTGTAATACAAAGGCTAAACACTTGAAGAGATGGATATCTTATTTTCCATAATGTGATTATTTTACATTGTGTGCATGCATCAAAACGTTTCATGTACCCCATAAATATACTTACTATATACACAGAAAAATTAAAAATTAAAAATATATAGATAGGTGATAGCTGTTTGTCTTACTGTATTTATATTCTTTTAAAAGTCTTATACTTCTGTATATAAAGAATACACACTACAACTTACAAAATGTAAATGTGCAAGAGTTAAATTGTGATAGAGGACAGAAATATAATGAAAAATCTTGTTGGTTTTTCTCACACCTATTATTTAACTTATGCTACTGTTAATTAATACTAATGGCCACTGTTTAGTCCTAATGTTTTGTTTAAATAGCACTTATGTAACAGAAAATAATACATAAAAAACATATAATTTCAAATACTTATTCTTAAGTAATGATACATATGCACAATTATTTATGTTATGGGTTTTCTTCATCTAGCACATCTATGTCCTGGGTTGGCTCTCTGAAGGTTGGTCACCCTAAGACTATAGTACCATCTTGTTTATATAAAAAATATATAAACAAGATACTATTTGTAAATTGCATAGAATAGAAACTGGTAAACAACGGTGCCTTCTGTGAAAGTGACATCAGTGGCCAGAACAGGTAAGAAAAATTTTCTTTTACTAGGATATTTTTAAATACTCTTAAATGTTGTACCCTGCAAATATACCAGCTATTTTTTTTTTTTTTCTTTTTTTGAGATGGAGTCTCGGCTCACTGCAACCTCCACCTCCCGGGTTTCAGCAATTCTCCCGCCTCAGCCTCCTGAGTAGGTGGGACTACAGGCATGAGCCACCATGCAGGGCTAATTTTTGTATTTTTAGAAGAGAAAGGGTTTCACCATGTTGGCCAGGCTGGTCTCAAACTCCTGACCTTAAGTGATCCGCCCGCCTGGGGCTCCCAAACTGCTGAAATTATAGGCGTGAGCCACTGCGCCCAGCCTCCACCTATTTTTAAATGTTGTACCCTGAAAATATTCTAAACCAAGGGACTGTTATTAATTTTACACAGAGGCTGGCCACAGTGAGAGTGGGGAAAGGCACCATCTCAGCATGGGAGCACGTGCTCTCACTGGAAACAATGTATCGATAACACGTGTTTCTTGGCAAGCCGGCCCAAACTTCAAGATGGCTGCCCAGCGAACGGCTGGTTGTGACGAGTCTGATGAGGTTAGTTGCTTCACAAAACTGAAGGGCCCACTAAGCCTGGGAAATCAGTATGTATTTGTGTATGTGTTTGTGAGGAGAGCCACTGGAAGGTTTTAAGGAAAACAGTGATTGGATTTATGACTAAAAGGGTCCTCTAGCTGTGTAAGGAATGCGGGGGGGGGGACCCTATTTGGGGAGTATATTTCTGTAATCTTGGTGAGTAAGGATGTTGGCTTGGACTCGTTAGCATCATAGTAGTACTGGATGGAGATGTGAAGACATGGATAGAAATTTGGGAGGTCACCTGGACAAGACTTGTTGCTAGATTGAGTGTGGATTGTGAGGGAAACAGCAATATGGCTGCCTGCCAGTTACACCCTCTCCGGCCTGAGCGAGTCACGGTGCCTGTTCCTGAGATGGAAAATGCTAGGGCATTGGTGGATGTGGAGGGTAAGAATGAGTTATCTGCGACGTTTTAAGACATAGTTAACTGATGCACATTTTTTAAAGTCACTTGGGCGGGATGGTCGGTTCTCACGAAAGTCATTCGGGCTGTTCTGTGTGGAGGGGCTGGGAAGGGTGTAACTGGGAGGCAAGGAAGGGTCCTGCGTTGGCCTCAACGGGGACAGACAGGAAGCTGCTCAAGGCCAAGTGAAGGCTTTAGTTTTTCATCAGGGTGAAATGGGCAGCCACAGTAGGGCTTTGAGTGTGGCAAGAGCAGACCAAAGTCCTGCTGTGTGGAGAGCAGGCTATTGGGTAGGGTTGCCAGATTTAGCTAATAAAAATCCGGGACACCCGTTTAAATATGAATATCAGATCAACAATTATTTCGTAGCATAAGTACGGCCTGTGCGAATTTGGGATATATTAAAAATGTATTTGTTGTTGATACGACATTCAAATCTAACGGGTCCAACTGTGTTTTACTAAGCAGCCCTAACACTGACTAGGTCTGGAATTTCCGTAAGCCAAAAGGGGCGATGGTGGTAGCGGTGGAGGTGTGAGGAGGGACCCCCGCAAAGGTGAGCTTTTCCCATTTGGTGCCCTTTGCCGCAGAACAACTCTGGGAAGTCGAGCCTCTCGGCACTTCTACTTCTTTTAGCCCCCAGCAGGCTCCACGGGGAAGGATTCCCTGCTTCTTCCAATCCTCCTGAACACCGACGCCCGAGCGCGTCTCTTCCCCCTGGCCAGCGTCTTGCTGAAACTCCCGCCCCCAGCGGCTGGCACGTAACCCCGCCTTCCGCTTCTCTCCTCCCGCTCCCCGCAGGGGTGTGGCCTGAGTGAGGAGACCGCAAACTGCCCCCTCTCCCCTGTCTCCCCGGATGACGAGTCGCTGGATAACATGGAGTCGGGCAAGATGGCGCCTCCCAAGAACGCTCCGAGAGATGCCTTGGTAAGTGCGAAGGATGAGCGGCGGAGCGCGAAGCCGGGTGCAGCCAGGGACCTGCGAGGCAAAGCCACGCTGAGGGCCTAAGGGTGGGCTCGCGCGGTCGCTTCAGTCCAGTCATGGCCGCCAGGAGGAGAGGGTGATGGAGATGCGCCCTGGCCCCGGGGCCCCTCTCTCCGCTCCGGCCAAGCCTTACCAGGGGGTCGCGGTCCAGCGGAGCTTGTGGAACGGCTGCCCAGCTTTGTGTCCTGGGCTTCGGGCCCCTGCCGCCTCCTCGTCTCTACCTATCCGCCAGCCCTGACCCCGCGTCCAGGGTTCTGACGCTAGCTTAACTCGCTGCCAAAACCAAAAATGACAGCCAGCTGAAGCTACCCCTACTTCTGCTGGGGAAGCCAACTCCTGTCTTCTCTTTGCTTCCCCCCCACCACCGACTCCCAATCCCGCCAAAAAATAAAAATAAAACTTTTCAGCAAAAGCGTACTGTGCGATTTGGTGTGATCGCTGACTCACTTGGGAAGACAAGGGTGAGTAGGACTTTGAAGCCCAAAGAAAGGGAACCTTGTATAATAAATGTAAATACTACCCTTCAGGCTAGCCTTGATTTCCAGCACCAAATTCTGCATCTGGCGTTTTTATTTGAATCCACAGGTGATGGCACAGATCCTGAAGGATATGGGAATCACAGAATACGAACCAAGGGTTATAAATCAAATGTTGGAATTTGCTTTCCGTAAGTTAAACACCAAAAACTTGCCTAACTTGTGAATTTGAAAAAATATTTTTATTGTAAGAACTTTTTTCTTTTTTTTTTTTTGAGACAGGGTCTTGCTCTGTCGCCCAGGCTGGAGGGCAGTGGCACAATCTCGGCTCATTGCAGCCTCCCCCTCCCGGGTTCAAGCGATTCTCATGCCTCAGTCTCCTGAGTAGCTGGGACTACAGGCACACACCACCACACTGGGCTAAGTTTGGTATTTTTAGTAGAGGCGGGGTTTTGCCACATTGCGCAGGCTGGTCTTGAACTCCTGACTCGGGTTATCTGCCCGTCCTGGCCTCCCAAAGTGCTGGCATTACAGGTGGTGCCCAGCCTTGTAAGAACATTTTCAACTAATTACGTTAATAGTATAGAATTCAGCCTAACGCAGTTAAAAAGGAGCTCAAGCTAGGGGACAGTAGTACTCACATGGTTATATCTGTTTAAAACTGATCATATAGACAGGATGATTAGCTATTAAAGGCAGCATTTAGGCTGGTCACAGTAGCTTACACCTGTAATCTCAGCACTTTGGGAGGCTGAGGTGGGAGGCCAGGAGTTCGAGTTATGCCTGGGCAACATAGTGAGACCCCATCTCTACAGAAAACAAAAAATTCATAAACTGTATACAAATTAGTGGAAACTTGTATTAAGACAAGTAGCCATAAATATTAAGCTGTCTTCATATGTTTAAGAAAAGATTGTTTTGTTCTTAAAGGATATGTGACTACAATTCTGGATGATGCAAAAATTTATTCAAGCCATGCTAAGAAACCCAATGTTGATGCAGATGATGTGAGACTGGCAATCCAGTGTCGTGCTGATCAGTCTTTTACCTCTCCTCCCCCAAGAGATGTGAGCAAACTTTGATTTGAAGTTATTTTTACTTACAATTTTTTAATCTGTAGTTCTAATAAGGATTTTTTTCTTTTTTAGTTTTTACTGGACATTGCAAGGCAGAAAAATCAAACCCCTTTGCCACTGATTAAGCCATATGCAGGACCTAGACTGCCACCTGATAGATACTGCTTAACAGCTCCAAACTACAGGCTGAAGTCCTTAATTAAAAAGGTAAGACATTTTAATCAACTTCGCTTTTTTCAAAAGGTGGGATATGATAGGGGACTTTGTGAAAAGCACATTCCTGTAGCTAGTATAGTAAAGGTTAAGATAATAGAATTTTTTTAATTTTAAAAAATTTTATAGTTCCTAGAAGGAATTTTAGTGTTCATTTAATGCTACAATCATTTTTCACATCAGGAATTGGAGCCTGAACTCATTTATGAAGTTAGTAGCAAAGCTAGGACTGATTCCAAGCCTCATAACTCCCAATCTTTCCACTGTATTGTAGTTTTTTTAGTGAGGCCTAATAACAGAGGGAATGATATACCATCAGGAATTGGGCCAGCTTTCTGAAATATGACCTAAAGCTCTCCCACCACTGAAAAAGTTATCCCCACGATAGGGTGCCTTTGTTTTCTGAAGTTCCGCTATAAGAGTTTTATTCCTTTTTGGGTTAAGAAATTGACTAGTTAAGATTAAAAATCACAAAGAAGTTAGTTGTTATCCCCATTCAAATAACACTCTATCTTAAACTTTAATACTGAATAAGATTATATATGTATTCATATCTTTTTTTTCCCCCAAGATGGAATCTTGCTGTCACCCAGCTGGAGTGCAGTGTCACAATCTCAGCTAACTGCAACCTCCGCCTCCCAGGTTCAAGCAATTCTCCTGCCTCAGCTTCCTAAGTAGCTGGGATTATAGGCATCTGCCACTGCGCCCAGCTAATTTTTGTGTTTTTAGTAGAGACGGGGTTTCAGTATGTTTGCCAGGCTGGTATTGAGCTCCTGACCTCGTAATCCACCCGTCTCAGCCTCCCAGGCGTGAGCCACCGTGCCTGGCCTTCATATCTATTTTCACATAGATAAAGACATGTATATATGTTTATGCAAACCCCAGATTAAATGTTGGACTTAAAACACTGATAGAACAAAAACAGGACTTTCTTGCCATGAATTATCCGTAATCATTTACATCAACAATCCTAATTTCATTCCTGGAAAATTAAGGTGTCACATCTTAACATTAATTTGTTTTTTAAATCTCCTAGGGACCTAACCAAGGGAGACTAGTTCCACGATTAAGTGTTGGTGCTGTTAGTAGCAAACCTACCACTCCTACTGTAGGTAAGTGAAAGGAGAAAATGGCTTTTCTGGCTGGTAAAGCAGTACCTCAGCACTTGGTTTTGAACTATAATGCAAGACAAAAATTGAGTCAGAAATTCTGCATATGTGTTATTATTAATAATTTTATTCATCTAGTAAAGCTATAAACATACATGTTACTGGATTTCAAAATGAGAAAGACACCAGGAACATCTGATCTCAAATAAGTATAAAATTGGACATTGCCCACATTGTTGTTGGTATAAACTCTGATACCAAAAACAGGAGTTTACTCTTAGCTGTGTACTTTATGCCTTCTATACAAATGTATGTGTCCTTTTGACAGATCTGTGTCACTCTGTGAGCATTTTTTGCTTTCTGATGCAACAAGATGTTGCAAACTCATACTTTTCCTACCCAGGTCCTAGAATCATCCACTTCTCCAAAGAGCCCTGGTTCCTTTTGGTGGAGAATGGTATTCAGAATCCATTGTTTTTTTCTTAATATCGTTGTTTAGATAGTAAGGAAAACAAATAATGTACTTAGATTTCCTGACTTTTTTTCCTACATTCCTGCTGGGTTCCTTGCATACATAGTCTAGTAATCAAAGTATTTTCAGAAAAATCCCTCTTCATCAGTATTAAATTATTGGCTCTTATTGCTTATAACTTGAGTCCCATGGCTGCCATATAGCTCAAGTATAAACAGCATTTGATTTTTGAGGTGTCTAAACCATCTCTTCATATTCTCAGGATGTAAATTTGCATTTCAACATTGTAAAGCCACTTTGGTATAGTATCAGTTGTACATGTGTAATTACCTACCTGTGACCCTTGTGGACAGAAATCTGCATTATAATCTTTGTAAATTTTCATCATATTCTGTTTGTGGATTCACATTACTTAAATGAATACCAGCTGTTTTAGGCTGGTAATCAGTTTCACATGCCAGGCAGGTTAACCAATTTTAGTTATCAGTTATGATTTTTATTCCTAGCTAGACATTTGCTCTACAAACTTCAGAGATTTTTAAAATGTAGAGTGAGGGCACTACCAAAAAACACCTGATAGTTTTAAAGATGCAAGGTTTTTATGTTATTTTGTTTTTTTGTTTTGTTTTTTTTGAGACACAGTCTTACTCTGTCACCCAGGCTGGAGTGCAATGGCGCAATCTTGGCTTACTGCAACCTCCGCCTCCCAGGTTCAAACAATTCTCCTGTCTCAGCCTCCCAAATAACTGGGATTACAGGTGTGCACCACCACACCCAGCTAACTTAGTTTGTTTTGTTTTGTTTTCAGTAGAGATGGGGTTTCACCATGTTGGCCAGGCTGGTCTTGAACTCCTTATCTCAAGTGATCTGCCCACCTCGGCCGCCCAAAGTGCTAGGATTACAGGCATGAGGCACCACACCAAGCCTAAAGATGCAAGTTTTAAACTTTAAAAAATTAAAATGAGTTGACCAGGCACAGTGACTCACACCTGTAATCCTAGCAGTTTGGGAGGCCAAGGCAGGTGCATCACTTGAGGTAAGGAGTTCAAGACCAGCCTGGCCAACATGGTGAAACCCCGTCTCTACTAAAAATACAAAAATTCGCTGGGCATGGTGGTGGGTGCCTGTAATCCCAGCTACTCGGGAGGCCAAGGCACAAGAATCGCTTGAACCCAGTGAGCCAAGATTACACCACTGCACCCCAGTTTGGGTGACAGAGTAAGACTCTGTCTCAAAAAAAAAAAAAATTAAAATGAGTTATATAGACCTTAAGACATGAGTATTTACTCTCTTCAATTGGGGGTGGGAGGGGACTACATCTACAGTCTACTGTGTTCACTTTTAAAGCCTCAACTCCATACTTGCTTCAATTTACTGACAATTCTTAGGCCAAGAAAACACCCACCTACTGTGAATTTTCTTTTCTTGATAAAATATTTACATTGCTTCATTATGCTTCACCAGATTCTCTTAACTAATCCTTAATACATGGGAAAACTTATCTAGGGATGGAGATATTTTAGAGGAGGGTCTCACCTTCTGGGTTTGGTAGAGAGCAGTAAATAAAACCCAGATTTCTCAGTACCTCTGGGCTTTCTTTCCTTATTTACTTTTTTCACCTTTTTCTCTAGAAATGGTAGTTGTAGTGTCCTCAGCAACTCTAATCTCTGGGTAAACTGCTGGTTCTAGGGGGAAGGGATGTACTGGAAAGCCTGCATCCCCAGATTAAAAAAGTAGAAACGGATACACTTCCACAAATGCATTTTTTGAGAGAGCAATGATGTCAGTATATTATATTAAGTCTTTGTTGAATACCTGTTTGGAGCAAGGTATAAGAGCCCTGTGCTCACAAGGATGAAAAATGTTAGCCAAGGCTTGTAATCTAGTGAATGAGATAAGATAAGAAGGCGGCATTTGAGCAAATTAAGAAAAGTTTTCTAAAATAGGGTAGTATTTGAGTTGTACCTTGGAATAATGGGTAGAATTTAGATGATTGGGGGTTTAGACTATGTTATCTCCAAGATATTTTTCTGCTTAAAAAGTATCTGAACACAGAAAGGGAATAAATTTTCTGGGCCCACCTGGAGACCTCAAGGAGTGTTATATTTGATCTCTGCTTTAGTTTCATGGGCATAGATGACATCTTCTGATTCTCAGCAAGTGACCAAGATTGAAAGTGCCAACTAAGATAATAAATAGAAAACCTGGGTCTTTATTCTGGTAGTTTAAACTCTTAACTTTGTCTTCATCCAGCTAAACCTCAGTGCTTACTATGTACCAGATGCTGTTTGAAGAGTTTTTACAGGGATTATTTTTATTTGTATTTATTTTCACAATTATATGAAATGGGTGATCTTATCCCCTGTTTTATAGAGGAGAAAACTGAGGCACAAAAATTTAAATAACTTGCCCAAGGACACTCAGCTAGTAGGTGATAGAGCCTGGATTCAAACTCAAACGGGTAGGCTCCAGAGCCTACATTCTTCACCACTATTCTATATTGAATTTTGTAACATCTAAACAAGCTTGTAAATTTTTTAAGGTTGTTTTCCTCTTATTTCTAATAACTTTTTCCTCACCTTTTATTAGTTTCCTTTGCTTTTAAGGTAGTTTGTGGTAAGCTAAGGAGTGCAGAATATAAATCTGTATAAGTCACCTAAGTAACATGGTCTGTTTATTGTAACTACAGCGACCCCACAAACAGTGTCTGTCCCAAATAAAGTTGCAACTCCAATGTCGGTGACAAGCCAAAGATTTACGGTGCAGATTCCACCTTCTCAGTCCACACCTGTCAAACCAGGTAATGTGATTGGCGGTGGGAGACAGAATTTGTGAATAATTTGAAATTGTAGAACAGTTTGTATTCCTATACCAAGAGGTAAACTTGTCTTAATATCCCAACAGGAAGGTGGCAGTAATGCTGCAAATCAGGGGTCTTCAGAGGGACCTATGAGCTCTCTAAAATTCTGTGAAATTTTACATACAGTAGTCTCCTCCATTGTCCTTGAGGGATTATGTTCCAAGACCCCCCAGTTAAATTTATAACTTTACAGTTTATAAACCTTCTAAATTATAAAATTTAATTTATAAATCAGACACAGCAAAAAATTAACAATAAAAAAAAACAATTTTAACAACATACTATAATAAAATATATATGAATGTGATCTCTCTTGAAGTATCTTAGTACTTACCTATTTTTGGATCACAGTTGACCACAAGTAACTGAAACTGCAGATAAGGGGGAACTACTATATATGTAACATTTTAGGGAGGAGGGAAAGTATTCAGTGTGTTCATCAGATTTTCAAAGAACACCATGAACTAACCAGTTAGGGTCCACAAATCTAAGGCATCTTCAAGGAAAAGCACTTAAGTTCAAGAAAGCGACAAAACTTAGCGATGAATATGTGTATGCAATCCAGAACATAAATGTAAATTCAAATGAAAGTTGTACCTTTACTAACTTCATAGCACTCGTGCGCGCGCACACACACACACACACACACACACACACACACGGAATAAGCAGAATTCTGTCATAGCAGTTTATGAACGTATATGTTTAGATTTCACGTCTTCTGAAACCTAACTGCATGTAACAAGCAACTTATGTAAAATACTGGCCTATTAGGGAAGTGTGATTCCTGACCTTGAACATAGGCCTTTATTTAGTATGTTGCATGATGAATCCAGTGCAGTTTTGCATGAGTGAATTGAAAATCTAGGTTGTTAAAATACAACAGAACTTCTTCAACCTTGTACTAGATACATTTAATTTTTATGTATACATAGATCAGAACATCACATTATACCGCATAAATATAGACAATTATTGGCAGAGCACGATGGTTCACACCTGTAATCCCAGCACTTTGGGAGACCAAGGCGGGAGGACCACTTGAGGCCAGGAGTTCGAGACCAGCCTGGCCAACATGGTGAAACCCTGTCTCTACTAAAACTACAAAAATTAGCCAGGTATGGTGGCATGCGCCTATAATCCCAGCTACTTGGGAACCTGAGGCATGAGAATCACTTGAACTCAGGAGGCAGAGGTTGCAGTGAGCCAAGATCACACCACTGCCTCCAGCCTGCGTGACAGGGCAAGACACTGTCTCAAAAAAATAAATAATTTAAAAATAAATACAATTATTTGCCAACTAAAAATAAAGATTTTTAAAAATTCAACTCATTGTAGTGTAAGTACCTGTGTTTCTTCTATGATATAGTTGCACTTCATGCTATTGAAATTGGTATTAGAATTGCATTCAGCTTTGCTAAATACTTTTTATCGTATGTTTTGGATTCTGGGTAATTCATAGCTTGGTGGGGGGGCTTCTCTGTTTACAGTTCCTGCAACAACTGCAGTTCAAAATGTTCTGATTAATCCTTCAATGATTGGGCCCAAAAATATTCTTATTACCACCAACATGGTTTCATCACAGAACACGGCCAATGAAGCAAACCCACTGAAGAGAAAGCATGAAGATGATGATGACAATGATACTATGTAAGGAATATAGTCTAGTCTAGATGCATTTCAGAAGGAAAGGTGGTTTTGAGCCTGTACTGTACTTGTCGCCCAGGCTGGAGTGCAGTGGTGTGATCTTGGCTCACTGCAACCTCTGCCTCCTGAGTTCAATGTATAGTGAACTAGAATATTCTAGATCTTCTTGTTTTACCTTAAAAGACTGAAACGTAGCTGCAGTATTTTCATATTAGTTAAAACTGTTAGATCTCTTTAGTAAACATACAAATGTGTTTGTCAATTAGGCTTCAATTACAAACAGTTATGTACTTTTTTCTTAACAGTTTCATTAATGTTGAGTCCTAGTATGGCAATTCTATTTTTGAGACACTTTTCTGCCTTCTATCACTGACAGCAGCACTTAAAGTTTCAGGTTCTACAGCCTGGCCGGCAGATTTATCTTTTAACAGCATAATCTCTAATCTACATTTAAATACTACTTTATTTTATAAGGTAATATAGTCACTTTCATTGTCACTAGCTTTATTTTTACCAATGTTTCAATTTAGGAAACATTTTTTGGAAAGGGTGGATTTAGAGGAGAGATTCTAAATCCATTTTGAATGTATTTGTTTCTTGGCCGCCTTTAACTCCCCAGCTCAACTCCCTTTCTAGATCGCATTCATTTTCTGCACCTCCCCCATAGGCTTCTCTCCATTGCTCTTAAATGTAAAAGGCCATACCTGGAATTTTAGAAATATCATTCCTGGTAATACAGCTCAGTGTCATTTTCATATTTTTAAAACATGCTCACATGCCTAATGTTTTGTAATTCACTTCAACCTGATGGTTTGCATTTGCTGTTTTTCACTGTATGTCAGAGCAGTTGGGTTTTATCCCTTAGTTTTTATGCCTGTTGAGCTTTATTGTGCTTTTGACAGGAGTTTTGGGTCAGTTACATTCAGTTTTAGTCTTGTATTCCAAGTTGATAACTCTACCATATTTCACATTTCTAAATTTAACAGAGATGCTGTAGCTTAAAATCTGTTTTGTTAAGTAATTACACTGGACCTAGGTAAAACCACTGAAGAACCAAGTGTTCCTTTTTACCACATACTGTACATATGTTTTCATCACTGCTGCTTGAGCCCTCCTATTGATATAATTCACATCATTTTTTAGCTTGTTGCTGAGGATGTCACATATAAAATAAGATCAAACCTGAGATAAGACACTAATGGTTCTCCATCCTCTATAAGGCCAACAAGGAAAACAAATTACTGTTATATGGCTTGCATTTAGGTGCACTCTGCATAGGTTTCCCAATAATATTGTAATGTTGTTGAACACCTTTCCCTTAGTAGTACTGGGAAAGACGGCAAAGCTTTTTAGAATATAAACAGACCTGTTTTGTTTTTCTTAAGTTCAACATACTTTTGCAGAATTTTGTAAAATAAATGTTCATATCATAATTTAGAATTTATAGCCAAGGATGCTCAAAACAGAAGTTTCATCTTAGGATAGTGTTTGATATATCCAAGAAAAAGTCCAGTAACAGAGAAGAAATGTCTCATCAGTTTTAGTGTTTTTCAATATTAGGGAAAGGTAATATAAAAACAGGTAAAATGTATAAAAACAGACCTGATCAACATCATAGGAGATGAATCTTCATTATATAGCATAGGATATCATTACTTGAATGTTCTCAGGGAGGCAAGTCAGAAGGCCTAGGTTCTAGTCCTAGCTCCATCATTTACCAACTGTGTGACCTTACTTCACCTGTTAGCCTTGTTCTCCTCACTAGTAGGAAAATAACACCTACCCTGCCTACCTCACAGGGCTGTTGTGAGGGTTCAATTGGTATTATGTGAAAGTTATTTCAAAATTGTGAAATGCTATATGACTATAAAGAATTACTAATGTATTTGTTCCAAGGTTATTAATAAAAATTTGAGCTTATCAGTGCTCTTTCATTTGTACTTAAAGGATTCAAGAGAGATTGAACAAAGCCCAGGAATTCTGATGGCCAAAAGCCATTAAGATTTGTTTAATGGTTAATAATGTATCAGGAAATCACTTGCTTTTATCTGGAATCAGCATGTGGCACATCATAGTGAAGCAAATTGAAAATGAGTAAAAGATTATGGGGTTAAATCTGTTGTCCTTCAGCTTCTAGGTGTAATTTTTAAAAAGAGGTAAATGGGGTGAGGACACTGTTATCTCCAGTTCTTCCTTTTACAGATAGCAAACAAATGTCTATGATCAGAGTACGAATATAGGAATATAGCCAGCATGGGACGGGGGAGAATGGAAGATGTGATGCACACTATGGTCTAAGGAATCCAAAGTGACAGGGAATAACTCAAGAGGTAAAAAAGAAAACACTAATCAGAACTACAGAACAGAAGGTCTGCCACCATTTACATTTTAATATCTTTATATACAAATATACAAACACATGGGTATGCTCTTAATTGTATATTAAGTAGCCTTAGATTGAAGGAAACTGGTCTTCAGAGGTTGCTTCTGGGAAGGGAAACTGGTAGCTAGGGGACTGATTAAGGAGTCTTCATTGTATACTCCTTTTTGATCATGTGTAAACCCCTGTGCTAGAGGAAAATTTTGGAAATGAAGAAAACAGGAAAACACTGAGCTAAAGAACAGACTGAATTGTTCACTTACAACATAGGAATTACTTTCTTTCCTGCATATAAAAACACACATATAATCTATGGTTAAAGGTGAATTTACAACTTAAAGCATATACCTTTGCATTATTTTACCAGTAATTCGTAATTCTAAATTAAATCAGAAGGTGCATCCTTAACACTGTTTTGTGGGGTGGTTTCTAAGACTAAGTCTTGCTCTGTCACCCAGGCTAAAGTGCAGTGGCGTGATCACAGCTCACTGCAACCTCCACCTCCCAGGTTCAAGTGATTCTCCGGCCTCAGCCTCCAGAGTAGCTGGGACTATGGGCACCTACAATCACACTCAGCTAATTTTTGTATTTTTGATAGAAACAGGGTTTCACCATGTTGGCCAGGCTGGTCCCAAACTCCTGACCTCAGGTGATCCCAAAGTGCTGGGATTACAGGCATAAGCCACCATGCCCAGCCCCTTATACTGTTCTAGTTTATATGCTCACAATTGTTTATCTACTATTTTCTTTGACCAGGTTAAAAATTCCTTCAGAACATAAATGCTATCTTATATTCCCACCATCATGTCTTTAAGCATATAGCAGATACTCAGATTGGCTAACTGCCAAGTTGTTTATGACTGGCATTTCCCCCATTCATTCTCTAGGTTAACAACCCAAATAAATATGGGGTGAGGGAAATCATGGAAGCTGAGTCCAGTAGAAAGTACTTACAAGGTACTGTCAGAGATTGTTGGATAGATAATGTTGGCAATTGTAGAGTCTAGGTGCTGGGTTTATGAGTTTATGCTGCTTTCAGTTCCATTTGAAATAATTTTTAAAATGTTGGAGGAAAGGTAATCAGGAATAAAAAGTCACAAAAATTGGATTAGAATTCCTTAGTACCCTTAGAGGTATGCAGAAACACAGTACAATTTAAAATTAACTACAAATATGCATACAGTATTAACTAAAATACAGTGAACCAAGAAAAAACTTCAGCTTTCAAAGTTTTGTTTAGAGCAACCAAAATTTTCTTTTGCTATTCTATCCAGGGTTAAACAAAAAAGATATAGTCTACAAGCATGATGTCAGGGAGGGAGGCAAATTGGAAAAGCATCAGCCATTGGAACCAGACAAACCTGGACTTGAATCCCTGCTGTTACTTAGCTCTGTGATCCTGTCCAAAGTTTATTTCTTCATACCTAAAGGTGAAATATGTATCTTGCGTGTAAAATGCCCAGCACAGAATTTCTGGTTAGACATAGCTTTTTCAAATGATGTTTACCTCTGCTCTCTCCCAGAACTCCATTAAAAGGACAGGAAAGAGATAGGAAGGTAAAATTATAAGGATGATGAAAGAATCCAAATGGCCATTAGTTTCTTGACAGTGACAATGAAACAATGGCTTCGAGTCTCAAAAAGTGATACCCAGGCTAAAATTCTATATATAGCCAAACTAGGAATCAAGTATAAGGGTTGAATAAAGACATTTTCAGACTTACAAGGTCTTAGAGATTTTGCCTCCCAGGCACCCTTTCTCAGGAAGCTAGTAGAGTCTTGTGTTCTACAAAAAGTAGACCAAGAAAGAAGGAAAAGGGGGAATTTAGAAAACGAGTCTAACACAGGAGGTAAAAGGAATCCCCAAGAAGGTTATAGGAAATCCCAGAGCAACAGCTGTACAGCTTACGTAAAGGGCATCAAGTACAAATGGAAAAAAGAGCACCGAGGACTCCTGCAGGGATAGCTCTGACAAGGATTATTCAGCATGTTTCAATATATTGACACATGCTTCTGGAAGATTTGGGAATGAATCACTGATAGGTATATATAGAAAAGAAATTTTTTTAAACACTTAACTCCAAAAAAATAAAAGTTACATAAGTAAATTTAATCATAGCATACTACATAGCTCAGCTGTATTAGTTATATAGACTTTTGATCTAAAATTGTGACAAAACTATACTGAGAGAATGAAGAAGTGGAAATATACGTGGAACAGAGACTTCTTCCATGGTATGAAATTAACAGATTTCTTTAAAAGAAAAAGAAAAAAAAAGAAGTGAACAATATAAGCATATTACTTAGAAACCTAAAGGTATATACCAGAAAAACTCAAGAGTTGAAAGTGGTCACCTCTGGGGAGTGGGAATCTTGAATGGGAAGAATGGGCTGGGGCTTTTTTGTTATAAGCCTTAACTTTTTAAAGGATGACCATGTGTAACTAATAAAAATAAGTTAGAATAAAAGCACTAAAACAATGTCTGCCACAAAGTAGGCCCTTGATAAAGAATAAACATTTATCTAATTGTCCTATCTCTCCACTGCTGCCCCACTTCTTGCATTCAGCAATGTAGATATCTGATCCATTCCTCGAGATTCTATTCTCACCCTTCCTAACAAAGTATGACAGGAAAAAAAAAATCACGGTTTCAGTGGACACTTTTATTGTTTATTTAATGGAT